TTCCCCTACTTATCACCTCACCCAAGTTTAAGAGATGTTTGAGAACAGGGATGAGTGTGCCAGCAATCTGTGACCCAATAACCTAAAATGTCACCTAGGAAAAAGAGGGGAGTAACACATTTTTAAAAAGCATGGTGAGGACAGCGGGGCTATCCCCCAACTGCACACTAAGAAGCTCTGAGTAATAGCTTTCCTGCCTGCCTTGGGCATCAGCTGATGTGAAAACCCACCTAGAAACCACACTGTCCAGCAGCTCTTCCGTAACACAGGCTACACTTTCTCAGGATTAAGAATTGGGTCAAGTAACCCCTTTGCTGAAGAATAAAGACAAAGGAGAACAAGAGAGTTCTTCCCCTCCCCAGAGGAGAGCCCAGACCTTGGGCTGCATGCACTGCACCCACCTCCCAGGAGAAGGATAAACTGGAGAAGGACGTCCTGCAAAACGAGGGCAGCAAAGGTAGAGATGGGAACAAATAGACCAGCTGGCCTGGGACAGCACCCTCCGTCGCTGCCTTGGTGGCTGCCTCCGCCCCCTCAGCACATCCTGCCCACCTCTGCTGGCTAAGCTGTCAGGGAAACTGTGCTTTGCGACCTGGGGCAACAGAGGCTGCCCCCAGGCTAAGCTGCTGGGGAGATGGGAGCTAAACCACCAGCTTCCAAGTGGCAGGCTCCATACCCTCGCCATCACCCCGCCGCTCCCGCAGCTTAATGCACCCTCGGGGCAATATGACCCTGAGAATGGTGACCTGGGAACGAGGGGCAGCAGAGGCCGCCCCCACGTCAGGCCTCCAGAGAGATGGGAGCTTATCCTCCAGCTCACAATAGGCAGCACCCCTCTCCTCTCCACTCCCTGATCTCACCGCGCCCACCTCCCAGGAGCAACCTGAGCTGGTGTGGTGTGTCAGGCGAATCTTGGGCGGGAGAGGCCGTCCCCAGGCCAGGTCAGGGGAAAGGAGAAAAAGTGGCCCCATTAGGCGGGGCAGCCAGCTGTCGCAGCTGCCCCTGCCCCTCGACCTCATCGCGTCCGCCTCCCAGGAGCAAGCTGACCTGGAGACTGGCATCTGGCTTCTTGGGCAGCAGAGGACGCCCCAAGGATTGGCCGCGGGGAAGACGGGAGCAAATTGACAAGCTCCGCACTGCAGGTCCTCTACCCCCGCCGTCGCCACCCTCGCAGCTTAAAGGCACCGCCCAGGGCGCCCCTCCCCAGCAGGCTGAATGGGACAGGTATGTCTGCTGATCTGGGGCAGGAGAGTCCACTCCCACACCAGGCCATCGGGGAGAGGGGAGCCAATCCACCAACTCCCCAAGGCATCCCCATCCCCCCGCATCAGCCACCGCTCCTGCCCCGTGACCCCACGGTGGCCTCCTCTAGGGAGCAGGCTGACCTGGAGATGGATGTCCGGTGAACTTGGGGCAACAGGGACCATCCCCAGGGCAAACCATGAGGGGAAATGGGAGCAAATGGACCGGCTTCATGGGAAACCCGCCTCTGCTGCCACCACCCACAACGTACCACGCCCACCTCCCGGGGTCAGGCTGACTAGGACACACGTGTCCCGTAACCCAGGGCAACAGAGACCGCCCCCAGGACAAGCCAGGGGGAAGATGGGAGCAAATGGGCCTGCTTCCCCGCTGCAGGCCCCCGACCCCCGCCACCCCTGCACCCTGACTACCCTGCCTCCCGCCCCCAGTTGACTAAGTGGGACAGGGGTTTCCCGGAACCTGGGGCAGCAGAGGCCGCCTGCAGGCAACGAGATGCAGACATGGAGCTAAACAACAAGCTACCCTGGGGCAGCCTCCCTATCCCCGCAGCCACCACCTTACCAGCTCCCTGACCGCGC